TATTGTACCCCGTTACACAAATTCAACAGGCGAGTAGTCCACAAAATAAATGTCACGATACTTGTAAGATTCCACCTGGGTGATAAAAAATATTTTTCCATCGATCTTGTATGATCGAGCTCCACCAGTAGTATGACGGTCGCATAGTGAAGAACTCAGCATGGACAAATTTTCTGAGTTGGCAAAATCAGCTAGTTCTTCAATGGCTTGATGTACAAGGACATTAGAAAGCTCTTTTTCAATATCCACGAAATCATCGTCTTCCATATCTCCATCCATGCTTTCATTTTCACTATTTGATTTGGAATCACACTCATTTGTAGCTACGTCCCCACAATCGTCTTCTTCGGACTGGCGTAGTTCGTCAATAAATCCATGTGGAAATAAATACCAAAAGGCCTCTGATGATACATACGACTTATGCCCAAGCAAGGCGTATATCATCAAAGATAATGGCCACTCGTGTGCACCGCCAAACTCATTCACGGTTCGTGTCGCTAAGTACTGGGCCTGTCGTATTGGGGCACCACTATCTGCAGCAACACTCGGATGCTTAATTGCGTCCTCTAAGGCCGTCAACATGACTGCTGCTGCATTCTTCAATCCAGCACCCTCTTTGGTCATATAGTTCTGTTGATACTCGTCCACCATATCGCCATTCATCACGCTCGAGTTGCAATGTGATGCTGTCAAACCAGATAGTAGCGTTTTAGTTTCATTGAACATACCATCCTATTGTGGTCTGGTTTGTTCCCACACAATTGGACCGCAAATATAGGGTCGAAGAATTTTATGTTGGCCTGGGTCGTAGCCAGCATCCAGCTTTTTTTCAAGGTCAACCGTCAGCACTTTTCCTGAGCATACACCTTACTTATGTGCAGTGGTTGCGCTCTTTGGTCGTGGATTCCAGCAGGACGACAAAGTCGGCATTGTGATTTTCCTCGTTTTTCTTTGATGCACGTCTTGGAGTGGTTGTGTGTATTCGTGGATATAATTGATTTTTCGACAGCAGCTTGAAAATTTGAAGACTTTGCCAAACATCCGGCAATACGACTTTGCAAGCACGAGGCAACGCATTCGGGCAGGTATTACGTTGTGTATTTTCCAACCAGGCTCTTGAATTAGCGGATAAGAGGTTCAAACATACCGCTTTCATCCAGTTCGCAATATACTCTCTCAATTCTTCACAAGATGCTCCACGAGTTAACCGAGAAGGACGACCCGTACACGGTCATGTGCAAATGTAAGCGTCCATCAATTTGAGGCTCTACAACCCCATTGAATGCTGAAACTTTTCCATACGCACCAGCTTCCCGTTCATAGTAAGTCCGACTTATTCTTGTGTCTTGTGAAGGTGGGCATCGAAGTATCACTTTTTGAATCAGACTCAGCTTTCTTTCGAAAGCAAACGCTGCTAGCGCTGGACAGGTGTTCGAGATAGAAAGTCGAGCACGTGGGTTATCTCTAAGGTATTCAGGAAGATCTGCCCATTGAAGCTCCTTCTTTCAAAAGTTGCAGTTTTCGTTATTCCATCCCTTAAGCCTTCTGAGAAGAGCAATTCGCAGTAACGTCATATCGTCTTGCTCGGGTGGGGCAACTGTGACCCAAACTTGTGGGAGTCCAAAGCGAATGCGCATCGCTGAAAGCTTTGGACGTGTTGCAGCACGTTCAAAGGGTGAAAGAGTGATCCAGATTCACCTGCAGCAAAACGCTTAAATGCTGGACTGTTACGGATACTTTCGGTTGTTGGAGGTGAATCTGGATAATTCTTTGCTGCAACAAGTGATTGTTTAAACTCCAATGAATTTGCCAAATCACCCAGCTTCCTTAGCGACTTCACGTGGGTTGTTGCTGCCCAAGCAGCTTTTCGCACTGCTGAACGGCGTTGTAGCTGATTAAAAAGTGTTCCAATAAATGTCACGCTCCTTTCAAAACGCCCATCGTAGTAGGACATCAAATGGCGTGTCAAGTCGCTCGAAAATGACCCAGAAGGAAGCATTTCCCCACCCATCATGAATAATGTGGGAAATGCACCAGCAACCATAGTGCCATTCTCGTCCCATTCAACTATCGGGTCGGCACTTCTTCGTACAACTGCAATATCATCCTTTACTCCAACAGCATCCATCATGGCGTTAATGATGGTGAACGGTACACGTGTAGTTGGTGGCTGTAGAACTGCAGATTGTTGAATAACCGTATCCGTGAAATTCCTCGTAGCACAATTAACATCGGCCCCATACCGTTCGGAAGTAACCGCGTCATCTACAGCATGCAAATCAGCCGCATCACTTACGACGACATTGTTTTCAATGTTTTCCTCCAGTATTGTCAGCTCTTCTGCTCGAATTTCCGAAGTATCAATTTTAATGCCTTCTTTCCGAAAGAAAGAATGGGTTTCTTTCAAAACTGATAGCCACGAGAAAATGCTATCACTGGGTAGTTCATATAGTCGTCGAAATATCTGCTTTCGTGCTTATCAGGTTTCGGATGGTCCAGTAAATGTAACTCGAGGTCTGCGCTCAACATCGGTAACTGGAAGTATTTTGGCACATGCTTGAGGTCCAGTCGACATGAAGCAAATGGAATGCCCAGTGCAATGTTTTCCAAATAGAGATAGTTCCAATCCAATACTACGCACGGGGGAAATGCATTTTTTTGCAACTGCACTCAACACCGGTAGAGACCCATAACGCCCGTACTCATGTCCACTAGCCAAGCTGAATTTGGACTTTCGTGGATTAAGCGCACACTTCGAGCATAGTTGAATCCAATCTTTGTCTTTGACAAGGTCTGGATCAAGATAATACTTCGATCCATCAGGCTCCAATAAAATTTGAGTGTGTTTCCTGATAATATCCTCCGATAAGTGGCCATACCGGGTTGCAAACTCATCTTCAGATACTCGAAATGTATTTGGTAGACGGAACAATCGTAAGCAGACGTGAGTACAGTCAGCGCCGACGAGAAATTCACAGCAGGCGGCGCACGCGAAAATACAGCTTTGCGTTGGGTTGACCGCTGCTGCCGATGCCTGACATCGTTCATACTCTTCCACACCAATAGGCGAATCCAACGAATTCAAAAGTCATTCCTTTACCGACTCGTCTTCACGGAGATGTTCGTCATTAAAGACAAACGCCTACGGGTATCCTCCACAGCAGTAGTAGTATATCAAAGCCAACCTTGGATCACAAGTAAATTTCTGCCCCTTAGACATAAAGCAAATGTCTTCCTCTGAAATATACCGCTTGTTCAGTATTGCATTTGCCAAAGTTTGCAAGGTATCAGTTTCTTCATCCCGCATGCTTTGCACTGGATAAAACCAACATATTAATATTTCCTGCGGTTTGGAAAAGACTAAAACATTTACTATGCTCTTTTTGCGCAGCTCGATACTCACGCATATACGAAGCATGCTGGTTGCGCTGTTCTTCCCACCGAGAACCACTCTCCTTTTTTTCGGTGTCAGTTTCCGCCACCTTTGTTTTCTTCTTTTGATCAGCTCTATTACTTTTCGTGCGATCAGCATTCCGGGGATTTGAGCGCTGGTACATCAAGTAATCAATGTCTTCATTTTCTTCGTAGGCCACGTCAGATTCGAGAGAAGTAGAAGGCCTTCTCTTATTCTAAAGTGCGGCTCTGTATCCAAGCATTGAGTCCACATCTTCTTCCTTGTCGGCAACCGTAGCAGGTAGGCTTCCTTCTCTATCCGAACCGGCTTGATATTCCAAAGATGCCGACATCTTCTGGGCAGCTGTGTAGCCACGCATGTAATCTTGTCGTCGTTGTTATTGAATACCGGCCATATCGTCACCTCCATCGATAGAAACAATATCTGGACGAACGACACCGGAGAACTTCCGAATAGCACGATACTCGCGCATGTGCTGAGCTTTTCGTTGACGCTTTGTTTCTTGCTTTGCAGTGGCCTGAATTGCATCAGGTTTTCCAGTACAAGATAACTCAGCTTCAGCTGCATTGGCACATCGTCGTTTTACCATGACTGTAAATTCCAGATTGCCGTTGAGTAGTCGGGGCTACTAGATCTCTTCGCGCCCAGAGCCAAGTCCGAAGTGTACTTCGTCTCGGCGCTCGTTGAGTCACCGGTCACCCATGCATCACACTATTTGTCGATTCTCGCTGTGTGTCCGTGGCCACGCCTGCATTCAATTTCTACTCAACAGTCGCTGTATCATGCTGCACTTAGCGTCGACTCAAGCGGTCTCCGAAGTCACCCACGCGATGAACATGTACCCAGAATCCCTCGTGTACTTAGTCACTCACGCGTTGTCCGTGTTGTCAACGCCCGTGGTATCTGTGGTCGCACCTGCTGCCAGCTAGTTCCCAGAATCCGCTTTGTTCCCAGCCTCTCCTGCAAACCACTTTTGGCTTCGTATGGCTGTATCGTTGGTGGCGCGTCCGCTGCTAAATATCTTCGTTTTCAGGATCACGCTCGTACTGCACTTGTTGTGGTAACAACCACTCTCTTATCCATAAAGAAAATACTCTTTTGAGTGATATCCCAATAGAGATGCTCTTTAGTAACGGAGGTTGGGGGGGAGGTCCGGACCGGCAGCCTACAAGTCGAAATAAAAAGTACATAAGATATCGCTTACTATACAGACCGTGGTGAGCTCAGCTCAAATAAGTCCAGGAGCTACCACTCCCTCTTTTGATCCCACACGCGACCCAACATCTCTAGAAACGCGCTCTACAGAGTCCGAGACCGGCTTATTGCTCGGGTGGCGCATCAGCATGAAGGAAAATGTTGTTATACACCGTAATCGACCTTGCTTGTCAGCAGTGCAGATATAAAGTCAACGATACCCTAGAATTGGTACTGCTTTAAAATGTGATTCCACCGGATACATCATTTCACATTCAAGTTGAGAATTTTTGCATTCAAAACGATATTTTCTCTAATCAAAAGAGAAAACCTTTAGTACCTTATGATCTTGTCATTCAATCACCTTTATAATGGTAATGGAATATTATGTACAGAGCCTCCGACTTGTAGCCTCAATGGTGCTTCATATTTTCACCTCCAAACAAATAAACTGGACAATTTGGCCTTTTTGTGATTCGATTAGAGTTTTCCCGTTTTGAATGGAGAAGTACTCACTTTGATAGTGAACAAAGTTCTAAAACAAATGTGGTTTCCAGATGATTTTACTAAAAGAGGATTGTCTGTGCCAAGTTGGTACTGCAGTATTATGGGTTTCAGCTGCTCCTGAAAGTACACCGAAACGATAATTTGAAACTCTCAAATCAAATATATTAGAAACGATCCTCGTTACATAAAATATGTATTCTTCCGATTAATGTACTGGGACAAAGTAATCGTATCAGAGAACGCTTAGCTTGATTTATTATGGGACAGGGTATTACATGTACAATCGATATATGCCCATGGTAGCGGGTATAGTATTCGGAAGGATAAACTATTTGGAGAGGTACTTAGTTCGGAATAATAATGTTAATTCATCCTCCCCTAGTATTACATTACAGGCACGTTGATCTACATCCCGTACTTGCTGGACTCTAGCTAGCGATAAAACTGATTATTACTAGTAAGAATGACATGTAGATTATTCGTAGGAGGGGTAGATTGTTACATATGTTTTAAAGTCATTAGCAAAGCTGATTCAGCACTCCACCCTGTTTGCGGGGAAAAATCTAGTACATGTTCATCTACATGTATGTAGAGTTCTTCTGCACGGCAAACAGCTCTCGAAAACTGTTACATGGACTGAACCCGTCACTGATCACAATGGACTGATTCTGACGTTTTTCGTAGTATAAATACTACTAGACTTGTACTATATACTGATTATGAAACTGATCAGTGAATACCACATACTACTATACGAAGGCATCACGTGCAATCTCTAAATTTGTATCTAAATATAAAAGTTGCACAGTCATTAATCAAAATGTTGATGATTTCTTATGTACGTCAAAGGTTATGTGAGGGAGCTTGTTGAAGGGAAGGTGATGGGCTGTAGGTACCTTTCCATACAAAATCAATACATACTAGTAATATGAGAATAGTCTATGTAGCTGTACGCGGCAATTGATTCTATTATACTCAGACGATTATTGGGCCGGTTTTCCGTCTCAACAGCCGGCAGTGGGGATAGGCTTGGCCTATCAACTCTCGAAACAGGCATTAGAGGGGGTGATTTGCCGCATGCTTCCTGCTGCCATTAGCATTGAGTCAATGCCATTGCCCTTGACTGAGTCCACCTGAGCTTTAGTGTCTTTGCGTCATTATCTAAGCTTAGTTGGACGATGACATGGCCAGCATTTGCACTCCCTACTGTCTCGCTCGCCCGTGTGCCGAAGCTTGCGTGCCTTTGCTGTTGGTGGAACTGGTTCCATCATTTTGTCCATAGCCGATGGAATCCTTCTGTCCATCTGTCACAGCCTTGCACTGCTTTTGTCGGTCGACGGTACAAACCAGCTTTCCAAGTCGGTGTCCACAAAGATTGCGGGAATGGAAAATGTCAAAATATGTATGAGTACACAAACGTTTCGCCATTTCGTGAAAGGTGTCACAACGTGTACACGCTGAGCTCAGTATTGTCGGCATGTGTAGCGAGTGAAGCCTGGAACTGAGATTTTGTGGACAAATACCAGAACATGTGTGCAACCACCTGTCAAGTGGCGGGGCTAAGGCCATAAATTTGTGGTGTGCTGTTCTGTTGCATGCATGTAGTGAACCAAACAACGTTATAAGAGGATTCATTAAAGATTTTTGCGATTGAACGACCCAAAAACCGTGAACGAAATAACAAAACTACCATGGATTTCTCCTCTAGTTATAAATCGCTTTGTTGTAGCTGGTTTCCGCAGTGCTTGCCGTTTAACGGATCCGAGTAGCAACCGTTCTGGGTAATTACATGATAGAACTGCGTAGCGTTGCTTGCATTGTGCGTTGACACCACTACGAATAGCCCGTCATACCTTTTACGTAATTTGGTTTAAACTACCCGAACCTAGAGCTCCCAGTGCAGGTCCTTTTTGTGCTTTTTTCCTCAGCCACTAAAATGATACAAGAGATCTGGCTGGTACTGCTTCTTCTTGAGGACGATAATCACTCAATTAAAACCACTGTAGTGGTATTAATAGGCTGGGTTATGTGGCCTGGTTAGAACCAAAACCATTACCACTATGTGTCGGTAAGAAAACGGGGTTCTCCATCTTGCTGCGAGTGCCAAGCACACAAACTGCCACACCTGTCATGTTCCCAAGCATACATGTTCTGACATTTTCCCTTGAGGGAATAGCCGACGGGCTTTGAAGATTTGGCAAAGCAGGAAAATTATCCCAAAACCTAACGTTGAAGAGTCTTCAGACCATGGCATGCCATTCTTGTACGCTCTTATGATAATACGGATGGAACATCGTCACCACTTCTTGTTATGAGAGACGAAGGTCCTCCACTCCTTTCTGAATTACTCCATTAGTAATATTGCATTTTTCCTTTTCAAATGGCGGACGGAAGCTAACGCTCTTCTTATGGGAGAATGTCAAAATGTTATTCTAATTGTCATTTTTTTTTAAATATGCATGACTAAATACAGATATGTACTAGTATTCAGCGATAGCGTTACACATACAACAGATCCTACCTTCTATCTCTAGCCAGCGTCCAGTAGCAAAAACACGAGCCGTATTACCAACTGTGAACAACGCCACACGTTTGGCCCAAACTTTGGGAGCAGATACATAACAGCAGACACTGTTTCTTAATACCAGCTGGCAATTGCACCTTTAACGTAGCGGGCATTGCTGTGAGCCAGCTACAAGATGGGACAGCAGTTCACTTTTAGTGTGTTTTTTATAGTACTAGCAAGCCCTTCATTCAGAAAGTAGTACCGCACTGGATCGATATGACCAAAGGTTTTGCCGTACTGATAACCAAACCGAATACAGAAGAATTCGTGCATCGGTTTCACTATGATGAAGAAAAGGTTAATCTTTTAGAAGTATAATACGACTTGATACATGACATATAAGGCTCCGTTTTCTGCATTTTGATGACTTTTCGGCTACGCCTTTTTTTTTTTACTATGTTGTACAGTATGTACTGTATGTTCAGTAGCTTCTGCTACAGATATGTACCGCCCACTAAGTTGTTCAACTGCTCGTTTTACTTTGACAAGGCTATGCAATGTCAAGAGGTAATTCCAAGCCGTTTTTCAGATGTGTCCACACTTCAGTAAAGCAACGACTGTTTCGTATACCCAGTAAAACAGATAAAGCTAATTGCTGTGTTTAGAGAGGTATAGACTGTCCGCTTCTACAACTTAGTGGACCGTATATGTAGCAATCGGTGCATGTATAATAGCTGTCTACTCCACACACGGACGACAGATCCTACCTTATATCTTCGATGGCGTATTACGCCTTCAGGTGGCACTGTGCAAATGCGTAATATTCCAGCCGCAACTACGATTATATATATGTTGAACACACAAGAGCTTCTCTGCGATAGGTGAGCGACAAGAAGTTTTCGTCGCAATCAGTTTCATTTTTAAATTCTCCTCTGTGTGGACAGCTCGCTAACGTTTTTAAACAAGACATCAATGTCACGATTCGTATTGCAGGCTCTGGCGACGGTGGCGCTGATCGCAGGTGGCGCTTCCGCTCTGCGAGATGGTCTTCAGTTGAGTGAGACGTTCGGCGGTCCTCACGGAACGAAGTACTCCGACGTAGAGGTGGTTTCTCCTGGACAAACCGTGCAGGGCCTCTGTATCCGGTCCGGCGAGCGTATCAATGGCGTTGGCCTCGAAATTACGTCCCCAGCGGGCGAGAAGACTTCGATATACCACGGTGGTCGTGGAGGTGAAAAAGAAACGTGGACGTTTGGTGCTGGTGAGTACATTACCGGCATCGAGGCCCACTGGGGTGAGAAAGGTGATCACACGCGCATCAAGTACATTAAGTTCACTACCAACAAGAACAATACGATGGATGCTGGCAACCCCACGAAGGACATCGGTAAAGACACTGCTCCAGAGGGATACCAACTAGGTGGATTTGCTGGCACATGCGGCAAGGAACTCGACTCGGTGGTAGCCATTTGGACTAAACTTGAAGCGTAGGTTGACCAGTGGTCCATCTGCTCCCGAGACTATTACGTTCAAGGTTATATGTAGTTGTACGCTGCTTGAGCTGCCATAACAGGTTTCGCAAGGTTTGCAAAGCTATGAACGATTTTGTTGGGTTTATGGCGTTAGTGGTTGTGGAATGCTAACCGCCGTTATACATATTTGTTCATGAAGAGATAATTTGTCCTACGTACCAGGTGAACTTCTTCTTATTTGTGATCGATATTCAATTCTTCTTTAAACCAAAACTTGTGTTCTCGTCAAATATAAACCACCACCGTACAGTAGTACTAGTATAATTACAGTCTTCAAAGCATTGAATGTATTACGGTTGTAAGTACTAGTAGAAGATGTATTCACCGTCACTTTGTTCCTTTCAAACATTGAGACATACCGAAACCACCACAAACACCAGCCCTTCAATCAACAGCAAACTAGCTGAACGCCATTGCTACGCGGCAGCAATTTAAATTCGGTCCGTCGTGTAGGCCTACTCACCTCCGCTTTTGCTTCTGCGGGATTGCATCACTCTTATAAGCCACCTATATTACAGTTTCATCACGCATGCCAACATTGGCTGCACGGAGTACTTGCTTATTACCAGGCCTCGGAATTCCCGATTTTACCTCAGTAAAGCTTGTTGTGGCACAAAGGATGCTATAAGGAGCGGGACGATTTGGGAATACACGACACATAGCGAATACATTACCTATGTATTTATTATACTTCGAAGTATAAAGTTTTCCATGCATTGTATAGAAAAATGCTAAATGCCTTCGGCTGGAATATCTACTTTGTTTCACATGTCAATATGCGCGATCATATTAAGCTGTTTAGCGTGTACACTGCCCTCTAAGGAGAAGTTTGCGATTACCGGTGACCCAATGTTTCGGTCAACTTTCGGTCAACTGATATTCAGCCCCTTCTACAACAATTCGAAGGATTGCTTAAACAGACGCTTGACCGAAAAAGGTCCCGAATCAAGCATTCCTAATTTTGGGTATAACAGCATCGTCCCCGTAAAAAAACCATAATGCGGATCGTGAGAGCGCGGTTGGCAAGAACGATGCGGGAAATGAAGCTGTGCGAGCTGTCTGGTAAGTTCTCGGACCCCGCTCTGCCGTGCATGTGGTAATTAGCGCTATAGTGGCAAAGATGTTTAGCAGTTTCGGTCTGTCAACCAACAAGGAGTATTTTCTTGCTGAGCATCGTTTGAGAGACCACGTTGAAATTGCATTACGCCACGGAATATCGCGTGGAGTATCGGCTAGGTGGCACATTGGACAACTACACCAAGGAAACTGGGATCTATACTCTGAACCTGCCGGCGCTAGAAGACATGACGGTTGGCCTTAGGATAGGCCAACTGTTGCAGAAGTCAAGCTCACTGCCTCGCGGCGTTAAGAAGCGTACGAAGTCCATGTCGGTGGGCGGAATCGAGACGCTTAACTCGTTCTTAGGAGAAGACTGGCTGCACGGGTATCACAAAATAAAGAGCAAGCTGCGAATTTGTGAGGAGCTGGAACCATGCGTCATTGGTACCCGGTGGCTATGATGATGAAGAACACAAGTGCAAATGGAAATAAGGTGGAGAAAAACGGCAAATTTTATTCATCATTAGACTACAGTCTTCAGTGAAACTCGCGAGTGTCTCCTTTCTGATCATGCTATTAGACAGCCACGGCGACGCTTGTTGGTAAGAGTCACTAACGCCGCCCATTAGCTAATGGTGTCCAGCAGGCTTGAGAGCTATCCCGCCTGCTCGAGCGTGAACAAGCGAGCACTGTCTTCAGATCCCGAGTTACAACGCTAGGTTCGCTACAATTGGAAGCTAATACGGCGGGTGGCGAGGGGCTCGAGCTCGTCCAGCTTGAATGTCAGACAGCAACTGGACCCGTTGGCAAGAGATCGTACTAATCACGGCAACGAACATTGGCAAGTGTGGGTGGGCTACGCCGAACGCGTTGTTGAGTTCCCTATTGAAGCGCTCGAGATAGTAGTTTGTGCCGTACACATTCCAGAGCTCAACAGGAAAGCTTTCCATCCACGTTCGGGCGAAATACCTCCAGAACTCACCCCAGAGTATACCACATACTCTTCTTGACAACGTTTCTGGATGTATACCTTGACGTAGACGATGCCGTTTTCCTCCACTTGATTGCAAGAAATTACCGTCAGCATAGCAATGCTTCCAGACTCCATAGCAAACTAGGCTTCCCGCTCACTAATCCGCACCTTCTTGATTCGCTTGCGCAACGCTTGTTACTAATGAAACAAGCAAGGCCGCCTCGAAGTCGCAGGTGATTGTTTCGGAATCGAGACAATATTCCGTTGCCACGACGAGAAAGTGAAAGATGTCCCAGTACGTTGTTTAAGAGCGGCCAGTGACGAGAGTGTAAAACACAGGGACGTAGCAGCCAGTAGCACGATCGTGGCACATCACCACCACACATTGGTGGAACGGACGAGGTACACAACGGAAAGTACCGTCAATAAACAGAGTTGTCTGTACATGAGAAGCTGTACCAAGGTTGGGTGCGCCCAACCGATGATGCGGTGAAGCACCTCACCCTCACGGTAGCTGTAGTAAAACTGGAAGATATTTCAAGAAACGATAGCTTGGGGGAGGGAGCGTGAAACGAAAAGTGCCGCCCCCATTGTTCAGGCGGATGGAACCTTCTAGAAGGTTCCACGGCCGCCCAACATCTTTCTTTCTGTTTAATATACTGAATCTAAGTTAAACTGAGCCTGCCTCTGATTGGCTACAACTCTACACCTATCATATCTGATACACTCTCCCTCCCTCTGGCGTGCGTGTCCCCTCAGTCTTGCCATTCCCGAAATTGCTCTGTAGGCCAGAGGTGCCGTTCCCCGTCGGATTAGTCCGACCCCGAGTTACCCACGCCTGCCTTGTGCGGGCCTGTTTACTTGGGGCTTGGATAGGTCCGCCTGGAAGGTGGCTGTGCCTCCTGCGTCTGCTGCTGCTGCTAGCCCGGCTTCCACCGCACCCTCGCCTCGCTCGCCGGCCTGTGGTGCTTCCAAGCGACTCTTTGGTGGCACCACCGACCGGTATGGCTTTGCCCGCTTCTTCTGAGCCCCACACGTCTGACGAGGAGCTCCTTGCGAGCTTTCTCGACTGGGGCCCCGACAGTGACTTCGGTTCCCGTGCTCGTTCTCGCGCTCGTTCGTCGACGCCGCCTGCTCCTACTGAAGACCCTGCTGTCCCAGCTGCCATGGTCGATGCTCCTGCCGTTGCTGTGACTCTGCCGTCACCTCTACGTGCTCATGTGGCTCCATCCTTATGCGACGCGGCTGCTAAAGCTTCTGGCTCAAGCCTTGTTCCTCCCCGTTCGGTTACGCATCCTGTTGGTTCCTCCGAGACAGCTTAGGCTACGCCTCACGATGCCTCTGCGTCATCGCCGCCCAGCGTGCTCCAGGAACTCATCTACGAGATCACGGTCGAAGGGTTATGTGGAGATGGCGTTGGTAGTGATGTCGTGGATGATGATAGTGTTGCAGCTAAGGATGTTCCTCTTCAAGCGGTGGGGTTGATAGCGACGAAGATGAGGAGGACACCCAACGGCCGAACCGCACTCGGCTTCGTCGTGGTGATGAGACGTCGGACTGGCACCCCTTTCCGCTTCCCAAAGCTCCGGAGAGGCATCCAACCACGAACCATCGCAACCACTACAATCCGGATGCTCCTTGGGACTATGCGAAATCAGCTGGGATCACACGCTTGCTTGATGTCGAAGGAGAATCTCCGCACCGCTGCTATCTTGTTCAGTGGAAAGGTCGTCCACTGCAGATGAGCTGGGTCTGGATGGAGTTGCTGGACAAGGAATCGACGCGGTACATGATGCAAAATGTCGACGAGTGGAAGGCATCTGGTTCTAAGGAAACCTTCATGGGGTGGTACGTCGTTCGTGATATTGCTTCCGAAGCTGGTACGTGTTTCATGGATGCGTTCCGCTGCGCGCTGTACCATCTTGGTCGGCCCAATCTGGTTACCATGGAGATGTGGGATGAGTATGAGAAACTCGTCCCGACGTGATTGCGTTTGGCGTGTCTCGCGAAGACGTCACGGAGTTCTAGAAGACGTTTCAGCGCCAAAGTGTTCCGTTAAACTACGACACCATGCTTCCCAATATTTTTCATGGATCTATCGGGGGTGTTGCGACTCTGGAACGCTTCTTTGAAGCCTTGGTTCCGGGTACGTACTTGGTGACCGCAGGCCAGGATGACGTCGGTCACTGTTTCGTCGTGGTGAAGACTGGTCCCAATGCCCGACTTGTCGTGCTTGATGGGTACTCGGCTGACCACCATCCACCGATGGAAGTGGTTCCTCTCTTGAACTACCAGTGGATTGAGAGTGTGAAGTGGATTAGTCGCGTTCAGCTTCAGCTTGGGTACGTGTGCCGCCACGGCAAACGCACTTCGAAGGCAGCGCGTAACCGGAATAGATGCCTGATGCAGCAGTATCTTCAACTTGTTGGGGATGTAGTACGGGAATACATGTAGGCTTTTAAGCCCCCCTTAAGTTGGTTTTACTTCATATTCTCTTTCGTTTAGTCCCAGACCTCATTGCAGAGTTTGAGCCTTGCCGTCTCAAACTCTGCGATGAGGTCTGGGACTTGTGACAAGTTCTCAACCGGTTCCCAGGTCTGCTTCTCTTCTCCCACCCACTTTACAAGGAATTGGGTCCGTCGCTTGTGTGTCCTCTTCTTCACCAAGCGTTTGACAATCTGGCCGATACTTCCATCAGCCAGTACAACCTCCTTGGGCCGCGACAAGCGTGTCGGTTCGTTGTACGGCTTCAGCGAACCCGTATTGAATACTGGGTGAAGCTTGTTGCCAGCTTGATTGTTGAGTTCGTAAGCACGGTTGTGTATCTTCCGCACAACAGAGTAAGGTCCAATCCACTTCGGACCAATGCACATTGGTGGTGGAACAGCGATTCAGTACATTTTCTTTATGTTTGCAGAATTCTGACGCTTGAGCGCGTTGTTCGTCGCGAGAACAATTGTGATCTCAACGAAGTGGCGTGCCCGCAAATCATCAAGGACTACCATCGATTCATGGGTGGAGTTGATGTTCACGATCAATTCCGCCAATACGGATACTACGTACGGCTGGCTATCACAATTCTCAAGTACTATCGAAGCTAAGCATATATTTTGTGGGATACGATATTCAAATAGATTGAGATTAGGTTTGCAAAACATCGGACCACATTTGTCGAAAAAAGAAACACTTGAGAAAAAAGTATGTTGTCAAAACTTTGTTCGAATCGTGCCAGCAGAAAACATACCGGCCCATTCCAAGCGACGGGAGAGAACACCAGGGTTTTCTCTGTCAACAGATTATCGTTGTCCACGGGTGCGGATTATTTTTATGATACTTTCGGCTACTTTCTAAGACGCGTCATTTTGACTCTTTTTATGACGGTGAGGCGTTTTTCTATGGCAAGCGGCTATATTGTATGACACGTGCTAAATATACATTGATATTCGAATTAATTGTATGAGCAAGGGCTCTTTTCTATGACAGTGTTTCCATGCAAGTTTTTTATTTTATGTTTGGGTTAGTTTTATAGTTTTTCTGTTCGTACTTTTACGTAATCAAGGATGCATTATCCATGCAGGCGTAGGGTAACGCTAGTTGGGCACTAAGTTGTGCCCCCATCTGGAACGAGTAGTTGATGGTCCTGGCTAGCTCTTCAATTTCCATAGGTGGCGCTACTTCCAGTTCTTCGTACTTTATGTCCCAGTGCCATTCACCGCCGCGCATGAAAGGAGGTTTGATTTTGCCAATGTAGTTACGCTGTGTTTCCTCGCCTTCCTCGTCGCTGGAAGTTTGCGCTGTCAAAATACTCCAGTTAATCACACTGGCCGGCTTCTCCGTCAATCGCTTAACCAAAGTATTGACCGAATACTGAGATTTTCTTGTGCCGTCGCGATCGAGGCACTGTGTCTTCTTCCGTGGTCGCTCTGGAGGTTTACGGGCCGGGATTTTACGAAGCATCATCTTCAAGTCTAGCGAATCAACGAGATGTAGAGTCGCTAGGATATGCGCACAGAGCCAACTGGTTTGGTAGAACTCCTTGCAGTCACATTTGTACTTGTTCCGGATGCGTTCGATTTCGTGAACACTCCATGACGAAGAGTCCCAATCATGGGGGACTGGAAACTGTGCCATAACCTTTACAGCGTGGAGCGACAGATACTTCAGCGGGATATTCTCCACGGTCTCATTTTGCCTAAGAACCCCTCAAGGGAGCCTTTGTAGGTCCGAGTTCTAAACCCATCTACCTTGACTCCAAGGGCGTTATCGTCTCGCACTACTTAGGGGTCAGCATTGTAGAAGTACCGATAAGTGTTGCTGAGTTCACGGGGGCTTTTCCTGTGTGTTTCGGGTGGTGGTTATCATCTTTGCACAGTAGCAGAGCGGTCGTTAGCAGGTCAGAATGTACAGGTCCTGATGCGAAATGCCGAATAGGTTCAGTGCCAATATCCATAGCACTTGCTATCAATATTTTGGGCAGAGTCCCTACCAAAACGTGACCTGTTGCGGCCCGAAGATGGCTTACTGCAGTAACCTTTATCTTCCGAAGATACGATTCAATAGAATTTTAATTCGGCACAACCCCTGGCGCATCGCTCGAACTGTAAAACCATAAATCCCAAGATTCCGTCAGGTACTCTGTCTCGAGACATTGGGCGTATTCGACTTCACCAAGAGGGATCCAGTTATCGACCACCAATGCACACAAAGCTTCAAATTGGCTTGCAGACCGGGCCTGACTCAGATACTCGAGTTACGTCTTAATATTCTCCTCGTAGCTTTCGTTCTCAACCAAAAGCCCCTATTTCTCACGCGCCTTTCTATGTAGATGCGGCCAACAGTTCAGCAGCTTTATCTCTGGCCAAATTTGGCGGAAAGCATTTTATTGCAATTGCGACGTGAGTGATCCATTGAACCGAAACGAGGACACAGGGAACCGTTAAAAAAACTTCAAGCAGCGGTCGTGGCATACTTGAAAAGTCGGTTGTAGGCGAATGCTGTTTCGGTACGAACAAACATGAAAGCCATGGGATAGAAGGTCTGGTGGTATTTTTCTGTTTCACCGTAGTCCACCCCGAATGTTCCAAACAAAACCAGAGTATAGTCGCTGATGCGAAGTTTGTACGTTCCGTCCGTTGCAGAAAGAAAGTCCAACGATGATCTGTGCATGGACCGCTGTCGAATGATTGCTCATGGACCAGTACGGAATAAACGCCTCGATATACAAATGATGCCCAAAGAAATCTCACCATTGTTCAACTTTTCCGAAAACGTGGCCAAAACGAGGAGGTTGTTCTGATAGTCGAAAGGCTGTTTCACGATCCGCTCTCCATCCTCTTCAACGTTGTAGACCATATGCTGGAAGAACATTTCCTTCGTAGTGCATATTCTTGGCGACGCCCATACCATTAAATCAGCGTATGTCGTGATCGAAAAATCCCCCTTTTTCGGAGGTTGTGAGCCCTATTTTTGAGTTGCCTGGCTGTTGGTAGTAGCGCTAATACCTCCGGAGACTTTTCATACCTGCTCTGAAGAGTATCCAGACATTGTTTTGGGCCTTGACCACCAAGAAGAAGGTTGTCGACTTCTGTCAGAAGCGGTTTATGAATACCCGTTCTCTGAGCATTTGTCGGCACTACTACAGGAGAATGAGTCCCAGTCCGCGACAAAATGTATATCCCGTTTGGATTCATATTGATCTTGGCAGCAACATTACAGCCCGCATGCGAAGTGCTGTAAAGAACTGAAAGTGTTTTCCCGTTGTAGTCCACACCTGGCGTTCTCGAGTCCGTCAAGCACAACCCGAGCTTCTTGCATTGTTGAAAAAGGGATGGGATTTTCGGTGATTACCAAGTCCTCTTCTTGAGTAGAAGCAGTGTTATGTTCGTGGTTGTATACATCGCTGTCACTGCTGTCTTCGCTGTCGCTGGCATATTCATATCATCGTCTCCGTCGCTGACACACGGACTGCGCGTGTTTAAGTCACCGAGGATCTCTTCTGCGGCTTTTTCTTCACTGTCGGTGCTTCTTTGTCGAACACGGGCTGTAACTCTACGCCGATGTGGTGTTACAGTCCCTGAGAAGTCCTCACTGTCGCCCGATCATGAAGAAAGTGATATAGAAGAAGCGGGACCCTCAAAGCGTCCAGTAGTACTGGCTTGCATGTCAATAAGACGGCCACAGCATACACGGAAGGTCTGGCTCCTAGGCGAATATACCGTTGATGTTGACTACAGGAGAGTGGAGTGTGGTTGGGATAGTCGAAGTCGCTTGAAGAGGAGCTTGAAAATTGAAAAATGAAAAAATAGAGTAGCCGAAACAGGCATACAGCCATTGCGGCTTGGGTACCGGAAAGCCGCATCATACGCCAATAGGACTATCGACATCAATCGCCGTCTCTATATATAGTAATGCATGGTAAATTAAGTAAAAATCGTATGATGCTGAATATAAATTCAGAACAAAGTTATAGAGATAAAACAAAACAGGAAGGAAAAGAAGTTTTTATTTAACGGGTCATGCTACAAAATCTACAGTAAATGCTAAATATTATTACAAAAGAACAGGCAACTTAATACAGTGAACGCTAACTTTATTAAGGAAAAAAAAAAACATTGTCAATTTAGTCGCTGTCACTTGTCAAGTCGATTGGATTGTTCCAGGAACCTTCGCTCGGCTCTTCGTCTTCACTCGCAAAGTCATCCGTTGATTCGCCGTCCAAATAGCCAAACATTTCATTGCTGGATTCCGATTCGCTCAAAAAGTCGTCACATCTTTCGATGAAGATTGGAGTAGACGGTGCATCGGATTCGGTCTCAGTCTCGTATTCGTCATATGATGAGTCACCAGAGTCATATGAGTTTTCATGCGTTGATTGCGATCAATCCGGGTAGTTATCCAGTCGACGCGCTTCATCGTCCAGCTCTTGCACCCGAAAGGCAACTATGTGGTCTTGAAGTTCCTACGTAAATAAGGACTATCATCGACTTTCTTCAGTTGCGGGATGTACCTCAATTTGGGTCCTGTAACTATGTGGTATGTGGGAAAAGACCTGCCTTCCCTTAATTCATTTCTGACGATATCATATAAAGTAGCCTCGCCATAATTGAAAACTCAAATTAAATACGGAAATCATATCCGTACATGTATTGTACTTTGCATGCATTTTGTCTAAACGATGTCCTAATTGTTTTTTAAGCAATTCTTGAAAAATAATCCAACCCTGATTTACCAACCGTAATCGTCGAATTAACGTTGGATTACCATTTTACTCGAAGAGTTAATGCTGTCTTATGCGTGTTTTCGTTGAATGGCTGTAGTAAAAGCGCCAAACCAACGTCGCGCACTCTAAGTCTTTCTTAAGCCCGTGCAGCTACATTCCAGAAGATGACAATTTCTATCGACATGCGTTGGAGATCGGTCGTGCTGACCTACATCTAAGACATTGACCTTAGTGTCCTTGCGTCCTTTATGGGGATCTCGACGCGGTCTATTTCTCGTTGGGGTTTACTGTTTCGTCGTAGAGGTAATGTGATACCGAACACGCGAATCCCGCTTCAAATGAGAATGAATCTTAGTTATTTGCCGATTGGCCGTGAAGGAGCAGGACAGTGTGCAGGCAAGCACTTGTTCAAGTCAACAAGCTGGGAAATTAGTAGCTTGGCATTGCATTGTCGCTGTGGCTTTGCGTTGTAGCTGCAGAGTTGCTATGTTATCCGGTATGATTAACTTATTTTTAACGTTGGGTTATGTTCTAGCTTTAGATATAGATTTGTCGCTGTTTTAGTGGTGCTATTCATAAGCCAAAGTTGATGCAAAGCACAATAGATCACCTTTGGAACGACCAGATAGGTTCAGCCCAAAATTTTACTCGGTAACCGTTCGTGGCTCGGTCTGAACCTGGTACCCTGGATTTTAACGTTCTGACCCGTATTTAGCGTCGGTAACGAGCTAATTCCAAAGTTCTACCCATAGGTAAAAGGAGCCGCAACTGATGTCTAATATGAGAGGGTAAAGTTCTAGAATCTAAAGGATTTCATTGGTTGTTTTGCGGTGAGTTTTAGCAATTTTGTTTGTCTGAGCTGGGTGCTAAAGACGATTTGCTTCCAGCTATTCCAGGTTTTGCTAACTTCCACAGACGCTCATGGAGACTGAGCGGAGAAGACGTCATGACGAGTTGAGCAGCGTCCCGATCACTGTGCGTGAGGCCATCCAGGCCGTTCCTGATGCCGGCACGAACGTCCTTTTCGCGAGACCAAACGAGAGTTCCTTTGTGTACGGCTAGGGCGTGCGCGTGATTAGCACGTCCGACAAGAGTGCTGCCGCTGTCTGGATGTGCATGGCAAGCGAGACCTGCCGCACACAGCGTGCCAAGATGTTGATGTCCGGCGGAAGACGTCGAAAGCGACTCAGCACCTCAGCAAGGCGCATGGTATTGACTCTAACAAGACTGCCAGCGAATTGGGCAAGAAACGAACTCGTGAAGAAGAACTCACCGTATTACGACGGAGCCCACTGTATCGAGATGATCCCGGCTGTGCGTACGTCTTAATAGAGACGTTACGTATCGTCAACAATAATCTTCCTTTTCGAATTGGCGAATACGCCGAGTCGCTGCTGCGTTGAAGTGGGAGTGGTGCATCCCTCACGTCATGCACGCTGCCACTAAGACCGCATTTGGAATTGTCACTGACAGCAACAGGTCCAAGAACCCAGTGATGACTGACCTACTGCGGCGAGTTGTCAAGACCGTGTACCAGACGCAGCACGTCGA